TTATAAAATATGCACCCACCTTGTAGTCGCCCTTTAGGTACCACTTCGACAAACGAAGTTGCTGCTTACTTTCCCTCGCCCATTGCTGAGTCTTGCCACAGTCAACAAGCTTGTCTACGAGTTTTTCTAAGGCATCAAATGCTTCCTCTCCTGATGTTGAAAAGTTATCAAGTCCTTGCAGAGACGGCGAACAGATGAAGAACACACGGCCAAAACTCTCTGTAGAGTTCTCTTACTCATATGCTCAAAGTTGGTTTCACAGCAGTATTGTTGATACTGCTGGACAATACAATCTGGTATCATTGTTCTGATAACATTGGGTGTTTTTATGATTTCGCCAGTTGATAATTTCAGAAGTTTTTCCCCAAAAGGAACATCTTGAATAACGTGTGTACTCGTTATGAAAGAAACAAAATGTTCTAATTTTATAGGTTCAATTCTCATTCTCCTTTTCTCCTGGTTTGGAAGAGGAGCAGCTCTTCCATGTATCAGCCTGTGAAGTCGGGCAATGTTGTAGCGATAGCTAGTATCGGTTAGAATAAACTCCCTTATCTCCTTAAGGGATAACTTGTCTGACATCAAAGAGAGTATTTGCGGTCGGGTGCTCCAATGTTGCGCGTTCAAGTAGCCTTCAGCAAATGCATTAAGAAGCTCCGTCTCCTTTTCACCCCTGCCTTCGACCACAACCTCACTCTAGCTGCATACAGCGTGACGATCACAAAGCTCCGTCTACAGTTCTTGCGAATTTTCAGGTGCTACGACATCCAGCATTGCAAAAGTACATTGTTGAGCTATCCGTAGGTATCTGCGTTTAGTACGCTCATGCGCTGTATTCCACGGCACTGATAATATGTGACGTACTGGACTGACGTCTCGAAGCTGTAAGAAGCGATTTAGCTGCACTTGGGACTCGTTGTCTAGACTAGAGCTTTCATCACTCTCTTCGGAATCTTTTTGGGGAACAAATAGGCTCTGCCGTCTGGATGTGGAACCTTCTGGCAATGCTTCATCACCAAAAGTGACAGCACAAGTGGCAGGAATATCAGAGTCACTCCTTCGTTTATCAACCTGACAAAAAAGTGAACACATTGCTTTGGATAGCTTCAAAATGAGATCAATCGTATGCACGCGCGGGGAATTGTGTATGAAAGCGCAAGTCGCATGCAAGGCGGGAGTTAATGGTCGATAATTATTTTTTACCTTATAATATAATTCACTGTACCCTGTGAGCAGAGGCCCTTCGATCTTCCTAGATTATTCGGTAAGAGGAAAGAGCCTCTGCCAGCCGCCGCAACTTTACCTGTTGAGCATGCGTTAAATTCAAATGTAACCGGGCCTTGCTCAGCCTTGTATTTTCCCGCGAGTTTCTTGCAAGGAAAACACGACAAATACCGAAGGACGATTCGATTAAAAAAAGTGGATTGTAGAGTAGTTTTAATTCAGGTGATTCCATCATGGAATCGTCTGATATTTTTGGTTCTCCAAAAACGCCAGTGAAAAAGGTGACGTCCAAAGATCGTGCTGCAAGAAAAGATTTGGTGTGCTTGTTATGCGGCATAGCGCCAGTTGGGGAGCGATACACACTTAATGTGGAAAATCGCCATGATCTTCGCGTTAAGTTACAGAGCATCTTGGATAAAAGTGTTGACTTTACTGTTCAGTAGAGTCGTGTCTGAAGAACTTGTGGCCGCTAAACAGAATCGTTGGGAAAACGGTACAATGTGGTAAAATTCACGAGCTTAAACAATGAACTGTGGGCTCGTATTTAGTCAGCAATTTCTAACAATACACATACTCACTGAGGCGAAACAGGGAAAACTGGTTTCCAACCGGACTGACTCATCCACTTCATTGGATGAGCGGCAAATCAGAGAAAGGTGCGGCGGCTGGCAGAGGATCCTACCTCTTCCCCACTAATCTAGGAAGACCGAAGGGCCTCTGCTCGCAGGGTAAATTCACTGAAAACCTATCCTGACATCTTTGTCCAGTTACTTCTCAGTATTATTTTCCATTTGGAGCATTTGGAAAAAAATGTTGAGGAAGCCATATAATGATTTTAAACCTTTACTATTTGGATATATCCTGGAGTGTGATTTGCTATCTGGGCAGGGCATGCCTATCCAATTCTTGTGTTATGTATGGTTTTGCCTAGTCGATGACGAGCGGTAATGGCGGCGTTTGAGCATTCGCCTGCAAGTTAGTCTGGACACGCCGTTCTCCCGCCTGGGTTGAATCGTTAGGCAAGAAAAGGGCGAAGAAGGGAGAATCCAGAGGACACGTTAAGGTTTTCCACTTTTATTAGTTATATTGGATGGAAATTCTTCAGGAACTCTTTGAAGAAACTTACCAAGGTTACACCACTTAGACCTTCTGTGATATTTTCCACACTTCCTGTGGCACCCAAGCTCTGCGATTGTAGCTGATCAATTTTTATTTTTGCTAGGGACTGTCGACATCGCACACAAATTCCTTTAATATTTTGAGGGAAAGAATTAATATATACTTTTTTTTACCTTACACATCCTCCTTAAACAAATAGCTCTGCATGTGGCAAAAGAACAAAACTAGCCCAGGCAAAAGCCCCACAAACCCGGCCCAAATTGATGACACATGCTATAGTTAAACTTGCCACAAGTCAGTAATTTACGTTCCTTTCTTTTTATTCTCACATTGGTAGAAGGAATTAAAATATCTGTGAATATTTCAATTCGAGCGTTCCCCACGCCATTAATTAGTTTTGACAGGAGCCCATCACTGGTTTTGAATAAGTTTTGAGAGAAACGAAAATGTTGAATGAACGCCAATGTTTCCCGACGTAAAAATATTTGCAAAAATCCTGAAAAAGACGTGAAAATAATTTTGCTGTTAAACTTGACGTTGTTTTACGCGACAGCAAAGTTATTTGAAGTTAAGATATGAAGTCTGTGATTCCCGCCAAGTACTCTGCTTGAAATGAGAAGCTATAAGGATGTTCATCCAGTTACGTACAATGAGAATAAACTAGTGGGACGTCAATTCTTACAAGATTATGACTCATTGTAATCGCTTACCTGATCCGACGGGTACGATGTTTTTCGTAGGTTCAAAAATTTGTATTGAGTGCTGCAAAGTAATTCCCCCTTCTGCTGCGGGTATTTCTTTAGATTCCTTTTTGTGACCGGAAACATCCTGTGGCACAGAACATAATCTACTTCCTCTTCTCCATCCAATTCCAAGGCTTGATCGATGTAATGGGCAAACAGTCATTTCCGAAAAATTGACGGGCTTCGCGAAAATCCCGCTTCTTGCTTAGATAAGATCAATCTCTGTCTCAACACCTGAAAATTGTAAAAAACGCTTGTGGCTTCTGATATCCTTGCCGCATAATGACAGAGATACTGTTTGAGTGGACCGATGCCTTGCGCGATCCCCTGCGTCACAAATGCCACCCACAATATCAAGGAAAGAACAAGACATTCTTTTTCTGCTGGGGTTAAAGCAACCGTTGTCTTTATTCCTTTCACCGACGATTATTTGTTTACTTTTGTTAACTGAGGGAGTGGAGAAAACCTGGCCTAGGTCATGGCCTATCCTGTGGCCTACCCTGTGGCCTACCCTGTGGCCTACCCTGTGGCCTACCCTGTGGCCTACCCTGTGGCCTACCCAGTGGCTTACCCTATGGCCTACCGGTGGTCAGATTTTTAAAAGGATAACATTGCTGGAAACCTTTCAACGCTTTCCTGAGTACTGTCTTACCAACGACTTTCATCTGCTGTTTTGGCGGCCACATTCCGATCAAAATTTGTTAACCTTCTGATAGAATAAGGAAATCGAGGAACAGAAGCCAGTTAAACGCAACTTTTGGGCAAACATCATCATATCACCTCTCCTTTCAAATTAATGCAATACTTGCCCTTTCTTTGGAAAAGCAAGTAAAGTTTGTGAAATGTTTACAACGGCGATGCGTGCGTGTCGCGGGGTGCTCGTTCCTCTACAGCACTTGAGGGCACTTGACAAACTGGCCTGGCACGTAATGTTTGCGTTTTCTTACCTGGATATGTATGCTCTCCAATATAAAGCCGTTCATTACATTTTTATACCAGCACTCCACTATATGTTACCAACTAGCCTGACAGCCTGCATCATAAAGCCGCCATTTTGTATATCCTCTGCGACCACGCAATATTGGCCCCTCCCCCTTAACCTACCGTTATGGTTGAGTGCTGTGATATTTGCAGTGTTTCGTTCCCTCGGACGTTGAAAATCGTGTTAGCGACCTCTTAGTATACCATTCTCAGAGATAGATAATTGTACACCAGCGTATTCGTTCGACTCTTACTGATTTTATTTTTATGTTCTTAAAAATCTGACCACCAGTAGGCCATAGGATAGGCCATAGGGTAGGCCACAGGGTAGGCCACAGGGTAGGCCACCTTTCNGCCCTTTCTTTGGAAAAGCAAGTAAAGTTTGTGAAATGTTTACAACGGCGATGCGTGCGTGTCGCGGGGTGCTCGTTCCTCTACAGCACTTGAGGGCACTTGACAAACTGGCCTGGCACGTAATGTTTGCGTTTTCTTACCTGGATATGTATGCTCTCCAATATAACGCCGTTCATTACATTTTTACACCAGCACTCCACTATATGTTACCAACTAGCCTGACAGCCTGCATCATAATGCCGCCATTTTGTATATCCTCTGCGACCACGCAATATTGGCCCCTCCTCTCCCCTTCCCTTAACCTACCGTTATGGTTGAGTGCTGTGATATTTGCATTGTTTCGATCCCTCGGACGTTGAAAATCGTGTTAGCGACCTCTTAGTATACCATTCTCAGAGATAGATAATTGTACACCAGCGTATTCGACTCTTACTGATTTTATTTTTATCTTCTTAAAAAACTGACCACCGGTAGGCCATAGAGTAGGCCATAGGATAGGCCATAGGGTAGGCCACAGGGTAGGCCACAGGGTAGGCCACGGCCTAGGCCATGGCCTAGGCCAGGTTTTGTCCACATCCCCTTGTCCGCGATTTTTTCATTTTTCTTTGATCTTAGGAGACATTCACTCTTAATTGCTCAATGAACAGCTTCATTGGAAAGAGCATACCAACTCTATTTCTGCTATTTGAAACAAAGTAAGTAAGTAAAGGGTTTGTTATTTCCACAGAGTGGCTCTTCATCTTCATCAACAAGCATTTGGGACTTTTAGCACAGATAAGATCTGGCTTTACTCTTAGGCAGCAAAGTGTGTCTACAATACCTTTATTGAGCCAATCCTGTGTTATACTGACACTGCATGGGGTGAACTGTCAGCCATCTCCAGCAAAACCCTTCAACAGTAACAAAATCGTGCTGCCCACATTGTTTTAAGGTGTGAGTTCTCTAAAGACACTTTTAGTGTTTTAGGTGGACTGACTTAGGAATGAAACAGAAAAGACTCACATTTTTTTTAGTTTATAAATACTTAAATAAGCTAGTACTATGACACTCACAGAAAAACCAATTTCCAGCTACCCAAACTGAAGCTAAGCCTTAGGAAACAAACTTTTAAATTTTTGGACTCAGCAGAGTCACTTTTTTCCATTAAATTTTTGATGAATACTCATGAATTTTAACATGTATTATTAAATTATTACATTCTGTACTTTTAAATTACTAATTAATATAATTTTAAATTATTATACTTTTTAGTCCAGGGCTCTTCTGGATACCAGTCCTATTGCTGATTGGGCCACCCTGGAAAAATAAAGTTTGCCTCACCATACCTAACCTTAGCTAAATGAGGGACAAGGGTGGAAGTTATTACACCACTACTCCCCTTTTTTTAAGAGTAGATGAAATACTTAGGTCACCTGGCATTTCTTAAACACCAAAGAGATGTCTGTACAGAATCTCTCAAGAGGAAAACCCTCTTTCATAACCTGTATTATATGTTTCTCCTTAGCAAATGGATAATAGCTATTTCATACAGTCAATTTCACAGCAAATATTGCTTTTATGTAAGTACATGTATGGTCTTACAATGTTTTAGGTCATTGATCAATTTTAAAAATCATTGTTAAGATGAGTCTTGTTTCTCTTCTTTCCCTCAATCAATGATTTCAATTAATCACAACCAATGAATTAATCTTTAGCCAATGAATAAATCACATCTTTTGGCAATTTTAATAGTGATGCTTGAAGAAAAGAGCATTGCCTTGGGGTATCCATAAAAGCTTTTGTATACCATTTTCTACTTGTGATGTCAAGAGACATTACTTCACTTTTATAAATTCTTTCATCCTCTCCTCCAAACAAGTGAACCTCATCACCTATACTCACAGAACTACAAGCAGCACGAGGAAAATTACAGGTAGGAACCAAGCTCCATTGATTTGTACATGAATCATAAACTTCATAGGAGAGTTGTATTGTTTGAGTTGTCATGTCACCAAATCCTCCCACAACTATGATTTTCTCAACAACTGTTGAAGCAGCTGCAGACCTTCGAACTTTAGATAACTTTGGAGCCCTAACCCATTTATCAATTGAAGGATTGTAGCACTCTACACTGTTTTTACAAGCTCTGCCATCATGGCCAGCAATGACATAAATTTTCTGTTGAAGTACAACTGCACTATGACCTGCCCGTGCAGTTTCCATTGATGTCACTTGCCTCCATTCATTCACAAGTGGATAATAAATGTGAACATCATGCCAAGAACCCTCTCCACCAATCACATAAAGCTCCTGATTAAAAGAAGTGACTGAGCAGCCCTTTTTATCCATTGTAACATTAAGGGTGCTCCATTTATTTTGTTTTGGGTTAAAATAACAGACTGGAGCTGATTTGTCTCCACCCATTACATATAACAGTCCACCACAAACTGCAGCACCATGATGGGAACGTGGAAAAGGCATGCTAGGTAAGGATAACCATTTGGAATCAGAAAGTACAAAACACTGAGTTTTATCATTGGAGCCTTCACCATCTTCTCCACCAGTAAGAATCACAACCTGTTCATATTTGCTCAACGGGAGGCGGGGTTTTTTAAATGCCTCTTGGAAATGTCCTGGGAACAGAGACAAATCTAAAGCAGTTATTACTTCTTTCATGCATATCGGGTCCTTACTGATTAATTCGTCATCCAAAATTTTTCGTAGTCCGTACTTTGGTATTGAGAAGAGTCTTACACGTTTCAGTAGCTCTGGAAGCAGATATTCTCTGGATGGCAGATCATATTTGACCCAGGACATCAGTGCTTCATATACTTCCTCTTCCTCTGCCACGTTTATCTCGTCCATGCAAATCAGTTCTTTTACTTTCTCTACATCAAGCAATCTGAAATCTTCGGATCTTGTGACATCTACAAAATTCTCCATCTTATAGGCAACCGCAGCTTTTTTCAGCGCTTCACAGTTATACCGAGATGCAAACGATTCTAAAGCGAGGCAACAAGAACCATTCCATGTTCCTTCAAGGAAAAGGGTAGCTCTTGCTTTCAAACTTGGAATGATCAAATAGTCTGTGGCCATCACCAAATCTTTTGCGTTAGAAGAGTCGATTCTTGTTCCACCAGTATAAACATACCGAAGAACATCAATAAGGGTTGCAGATTTGATCTCTTGTAACTCTACATGGTTACTTTCTTTTTCTTTCAATTCACTTGTAAACATGGCCCGAAAGTAAGGGCTTGCAGCTGATAGAACACACTTGTGGGCTGGGAAATCCTCTCCTTGGGCACGTATTATCGCATCACAGAGAATGTTTGTTTCTCTGAGCTCATTGAGTTTGTGAAGCAACTCATCTTTAAAATTCTCGACGGTTCTGTCCTTCGCCTCTTCCGCCATTATGGTCGCCACTTCCTCAAAGAAGCCTAGGTAAGCAGTAGATATGTCATGTACGGGGAAACAATTTATAACGTATAGCATGTCACGCAATCAAGGTAAGTTACCGGGTCATCCTCGGTGTAAAAACCTGACGAGGTTTTCTTTGTTTCATGATGTAATGTTTTGCTGTACGCTATTGTTTATAATGTTTTGTTGTGTTTGTTTTACGTCACTCGTGAGCTTAACAGGTTTTTACACCGAGGATGAGCCAAGTTACCAGATTCTTAGTTCATTACAAGGCGGGTGGCAGTCCCTTACGAGGACGTCGCCCGTCTTGTGAGTAACGTGTTGATATAAAATGTGATAGCATGACTTGCTGGGCTGAATGGGAACGCTGAGAAGTTGATCTTCTTATGATAACTCAATAAATATATATAGAGTTCAAGTGAAAGGTTTAGAGCACAACTTGAAAAAAATGTAGAGCAAGACTGGGGAGAAAAACTAGTCATGCAAGCCCCCCTTTCATGGCATGCAAGCACACAAGATCACAGGATTGAAACTTGACAAGCCACCCGTTCACCTGAGAGAGCAATGTTACTAGTAGAGCCTGCTGTCGCATTTTGGCAGCAGTTCAAAAGGCTC